CCAAAGTGTGTCGTGGACAAGACGCCTCTTTGGGAGTCGTCTTGGGGTCTCTTGGGAGGCATTCGGGAGGCTTCTTGGCTTCATGTTGGAACCTCCTGGGGCTTCTTGGGGGCCTCTTGGAGGGGTATTTTGGGGCCTCTGGGGGCCTCTGGGGGGCCTGCTGGCGGTCTCGGTGGCAATCTTCTGGGAAAGGGCTTTACATGTCAGCTCGGATTCCTTGTCTTGGGGCCCCTTTGGGGGCCTCTGGAGCCCGCTTGGGGGGCCTCTTGGGCCAACTTGGGACCCTCTTGGGCCGTCGTGGGACCTCTTGGGCTGTCTTGGAGCGGCCTTGGGGGCTTGTTGGGTCGTTTGGGCCAGTCGAAGCTCGACGTGGCGGTGACGCCAAAATCGATCGAACACCTGAGCAAACTCCATAGTGGCTGGCTCTCTGGGACCTCTTAGGGATCGGTTTGCAGCGCGGTTGGAACGTATTAGAGGCTTCTTGGGCTGTAAAGCAAAAACCATATTGGACGTCTTGGAACTGTCTCGGACCCCCTTGGGCTCTCCTGCAGCCTTTGGTGAAGGCTCCTGGAGCGCCCTTGGGAGCCCCAATGGCGACGCCCAGAAGAACGTGCCATCCCGTGGCCAGGGGTGGCCACGGCTGCGGTCAGGCTGCGCCCGTGATATTTTTTGCTCAGTTACCCCGAGGAGCCGCCCCGCGCGCGCGCAAACTAGAAACACTGCTTACCTGTTACCGGAGGTCTTGGCACGCCTCTGGCCCGTCGGGCCAGCGGTTTCTTTATATTCATATATACATATGTGTAGATACATACAAATCTACATATATATATATATATATATATATATATATATATATATATATATATATGAATATACACACACACGTATATGTACACACATATACGTGTGTGTAGCAGCACCCCGCAGTTGTGGATAGGAGTGAGCGGGCGGGCGCGGGGTAGGTCGCGGTTGGGTCGCAGGCGGGTCGCGGGTGGGTCGCGGATGGGTCGCGGGTGGGTCGTGAGTGGGTCGCGGGTGGGTCGCGTGCGGGTCACAGGTGGGTCGCGGGCGGGTCGCGGGTGGGTCGTGGGACGGGTCGCGAGAGGAACAACGTCAACAACAACGCCACGCAACGCAACGCAACAACAATCCCCGCAATTGCGGATAAGAGTGAGGGGGCGGGCGCGGGCGACGCGGGCGACGAGCCGGCGGACCTCGTGGCCCTCACCTTCCCTGTCGATGGCGCCCTCCTCCTCCTCCTCTTGCTCCTCGTCCACGTCCTCGTCCTCATCGTCGTCGTCGTGCTCTGACAAGTTCAGCGCGGGGGGAATCGCTGGTGGGCCACCCGGAACGGATGCACAAATAGCCCGCCGCAGGCGCCGAATAGTTGGCTTGTTCAGTGAGCGTAGTTCGGGTCGCGGGTGAGTCGAAGGCTCTCCATGTCCACCTGGTATCTATTCAAAAACAGCCCGCCGCAAGTGCCGAGAAATTCGATTTGTGCACTGAACGCGGTTCGGGTCGGAGGTTCTCCACCTGGAACGGATGCAAAGGAAACCCGCCGCAGGCGCCAAAGTTTTGATTTGTTCAATGAACGTAGTTAGGGTCGCGGGTGAGTCGCGGGTTTTCCACCTCCAGTTGGACGGAATTTAAAAACACTCCGCCGCAGGCGCCGAACATTTCGATTTGCACACTGAGCGCGGTTTGGGTCGCGGGGGGGTCGCAGGTTCTCCACCTGGAGCGAATGCAAAGGAAAACCGCCGCAGGCGCCGAAAATTTTGGGTGGGTCGCGGGGTGTATCGCGGGTGGGTCAAGGGTGGGTCAAAGGTGGGTCAAGGGCGCGGTTTGGGTCGCGGTGGGTCGCAGGTTCTCCACCAGGAACGAATGCAAAAGAAACCCGCCGCAGGCGCCGAAAATTTTGGGTGGGTCGCGGGATGGGTCGTGGGTGGGTCGCGGGTGGGTCGCGGGTGGGTCGCGGGCGGGTCGCGGGTGGGTCGTGGGACGGGTCGCGGGGTGGGTCGCGGGTGGGTCGCGGGTGGGTCGCGGGTGGGTCGCCGGGGGGGTCTCGGGGTTGCTCGCGGGCGTGTCGCGGGGTGGGTTGCGGGTGGGTCGCGGGTGGGTCGCGGGGCGGGTCGCGGGGTGGGTCGCGGGGTGGGTCGCGGGTGGGTCGCAGGGTGGGTCGCGGATGGGTCGCGGGTGGGTCGCGGGGTGGATCGTGGGTGGGCCGCGGGACGGGTCGCGGGTGGGACGACGACAACGACAAACAACAAACAACAAACAACACATAACAAACAACAACATACAAGCAACAAACAACAAACAACAAACAGCAAACAGCAAACGGCAAACAACAAACAACAAACAACAAACACTAAAAACAACAAAAACAACAAAAACATTAACACCAACAACAACAACAACAACAACACGAGCAACAACAACAACAACAACACCATCATCAACAACAACAATCCGCATCGCGGAATTCCGCTTCAGCCACGCA